ACCTCATGCACTTGCTGCAGAGGGTCAAGGGCTGCAGCCTTCAGTATGGACTGAGGCTCAATGTCAAGAAGACAAAGATTCTCACCACTGGACAAATTGGTAGCATCAGGATGGATGGCAAAGAGATTGAGATTGTTCACAGTTTGCTTGGCTCCACGGTCAACACTCTTGGTACCAGCAGTCAGGAAATCAAAAAACGGACTGCGATGGGAAAGTCTGCTGTTAATGACCTCTCTAAAGTATTCAGGAGCAACGGTGTCGCTGTGGACACTAAAGTGAGTCTGATACAGGCCATGGTCTTTGCAATCACTTGTTCTCCATCAGAGAGTTGGACAATGGCTAGGGAGGATAAAAGGAGAATCGATGCTTTTGAGCTTTGGTGTTGGAGAAGAGAGCTGGGGGTACCATGGACTGCTAAGAAAACAAACAGATTCATCCTGGAGAGGGTTAAACCAGGCTCCTCCTTGGAGGCAAGCATTCTGAGAATCGTCTGACGTACTTTGGTCATGTTGTAAGGAGGGACCGGTCCTTGGAGAGGGACATAATACTTGGGAGCGTGGAGGGCAGGTGCAGGAGGGGAAGGCCCTCTGGGAGGTGGATTTATTCAGCGACTGGGACAATTGGGATGACTGTGATGGAGACAATGAGATTGGCAAAGGACAGAGCAGAGTTTAGAGCTGTTGTTCATAGGGTCGCTAAGAGTCGCAAGCGGCACATAACAACAACAATATAAAAAAAGTGAAAATGCATATTTCAAATCTTTATGTTAATCTAGAGAAGACTGATATACAATGGTATTTCATATATAAGAAAGAACTCCCAGGGTGAGTTTCAGTGGGACTTTTAGATTAATGCAAATTAGGAAGCAGGACTGGTCGTCCACTTCTGAAATAGTGAGCACTAGAAAACTCTACAAACAACTCTAAAAATGGTGATAAAATGCTGGAAGTTGAATCCTTCAGGTTGAAAGGCACTCAAAGGACAACTGGGAAAGAGGTGTGTTCTCAAAATTGGGTCCACCTTAAAGATATGGACAGAGCAATGCTTCCAGCCAATGAAGATGACATGACACAAAATAAGGATAAGCAGCTGCAAACATCAATTAATAACTGGAACATGGCATTAGGAAGTATGACTCTGAAAATTTGAAGTTGTCAAAAATGAAGTGGAACAAATAAAGATTGATTTTCCAAAGCATTAGTGAGCTAAAATGGACCGGTGTGCCCTTCTGAATCATACAATCATGCAGTCTACTATGAAAACAAGTTAAAGTGGATGGTATTATGTTCATTACCAAAAAGAAACATTCAGGATCTATTCTGTATTACAATGCTGTCATAGAGAAGATAACATCCAAAACCACACATACAATAAAGATCTGTTGTTGTTAGGTACCAATGAGTCAAATACGACTCATAGTGACCCTGTGAACAAAACATCTGAACACTGTTCTATCCTGTGCCATTCTCACACTTCATGACACACAAGAGCCCACTGAGGCAGTCACCATGATAATACAACTAATTGAGGGTCTTACTGTCCCGCTCCACCCTTCCCATCATCATGTCCCTCTCCAAAAATAGCCCCTTCTATCAATATGCCCAAAGAATGTGAGGTGAAACCTCATCAATCTTGCCTCCAAAGAGCATTCCAGCTGCACCCTCTCAAAGACATACCTGTCTGATGTCTTAGCCATCCATGGGATGTTCAGTGCTCTTCTCCAATACCACAGCTCAAAGGCATCAATTGTTTTTCTGTTATCCTTAGTCATCATCTAGCACTCAGATGAATAACAAGGGATCAGAAAAACTATGGGTTAAATCATATGCACCTTAGTCCTCAAACTGACATTATTACTCAATAATTTGGAGAGGTCCCTAACTGCCGATTTTCCCAGTGCAATGTGTCTCCTTATTTCCTGACTGCTGGTACCACGGGTGTTATTGTGGATCTAAGCAAGATAAAGCTGTTGACATTTTCATTCTCTTCTCCAGACTTTATGATGTTTCCTATCAGTCCAGTGGTAAGAATCTTTGTTTTCTTGACATTGAGATGCAATCCATACTGAAGGCTGCCACATTCCTTGATCTTCTGCAACAAGTGCTTCAAGTCCTCCTCACTTTCAGCAAGATTGTGCCATCTGCTTTTAATACTACCCTGCAAGTTTATCCACCAACTACGAAAAGCAATTATGAAGAAACTGAGGATTTCTATCAATTCCTGCAAGTCTGAAAGTCATCAAATATGCAATACAGAGATATTAATAAGAAGAATAGATGAAAATATTGGAAACAAACAAGGGCTGGTAATCAGAAACATGGTATTGCTGAGAGAAAGGAGATTGCATGATAGAATTCTGAACAACCACTGACATATTCATTGCAAATATCTTTCGTTGTTGCTAAGTGTTAACAAGTTGACAATCCACAGGGACTCTATGAACAAGGTTCAAGATTTGAACCTTGCCTTATCCTGTGCTCTTTAGGACCTCTGTCCTGCTCAGGCCTATAGTGGTAATCACCATGTCAATCGATCTCTTGAGGGTCTTCCTCTCTTATGGGGACACTCTACCTGATGTCTTTCTCCAAGGACTGTTTCCTCCTCATATGCCCAAAGGAAATGAGACAAAGTTATACCATCTTTGCCTCTAAGGAGCACTCTATTTGCACTTCCTTTCAGATAAGATTTGTTTGTTCTTTCAGAAGCTCATGGGATATTCAGTACTCTTTGTCAACACCACAATTCAAAGATAATTCTTCTGTTTTCCCTTATTATTCAACTTTCAGATGCATAGATAACAAGGGAAAATATCATGACTTGGTCTTTAAATTGATATCGTTGCTCCTTAACGCTTTGGAAAGGTCTCTAACAGCATATATTTTCCCAATGTGATGTGTCTTTTGATTTCTTGACTACTGCTACCCTTAGTGTTGAGTGTGGAGACAACTTTACTCTTTTCTCCATCAATCATTGTTTGCTTATTGGTCCAGTAGTGAGGATTTTTATGTTCTTGATGTTGAGATATAACTCATATTGAAAGCTGTAGTCTTTGATGTCCTGAATTAAGTGTTTAAAGTCTTCATCTTCTGGAGCAAAGCTGTGTCACCTATCTAAGGCAGGTTATTGAGGTATCTTCCTCCAATCCTAATGTCACACTCTTCTTAAGAGTCCAGCCTCTTAACGGATTTGCTCATTTTTCAGATTTAACAGGTATGGAGAAAGGATACAATCTTGATGAACACCTTTCCTCTTTTTAAAACATGCAGTGTCCCTTGTTCTGTTCACACAACTGCTTCGTGGTTTTGCAGGAGCACAGTTAAGTGTTCTAGGATGCCCATTCTTCACTATGTTAGCCATAGTTTGTTATGACCCACAAAGTCAAATGTTATGATACACACAGTCCTTGCACAATCAATAAAACATCTTTCTGGGATTCTCTGCTGTGAGCCACAATCCACTTGAGATCAGTAATAACATCCTTGTGCCACAACTTCTTAATCCAGTCTGAACTTCTAGCAGTTCT